TATTTGATATTATGACTATTTTTTGGGGTTAGGTTAGTACATAATAAAATTCCCCTTTATTTCACTCCAGAAAACTTTGTAATTAATTCCTTATCTTTGATTCAGGTGAACTAATGAATTACTTTTAATTTAAGCGAAATACAACTGTGAGCTGAAAAGAAATAACATGTTTGTTGGTGACAACATAGGAAATTAAAAAGAGGGGAGCTTATTCATCCATATTGTTTACTTAAAAGCCCAATAAGATAAAATTAAGTGTTTCCCTTACCTGGCAATGTGAATTGTTTTCTCTGCTCTTTCTGCTGGTCTCCACTATCTTTCCTGCTCTCTCACTTTTTAAGTACTTGAAAATATCTGACACGTGGATGTGATATACAAATACTTTAACAAAGCTTTTACGGCACTAAGTGAAATATCTTCTGCAATAAACCCAGTGACAAATTGAATGAGTATAGCTAACTGATTCCTAGTGACTACAATCATTTAAAGCTAAATAAGATTTGTTTTACATTTTCAGTTTATTGGGGTCCAAAGCTCCGAAAATGAAAAGAACATCTAAAACAAAGACAAAAGAATGAATGCAGTAAATTTGGGGGTGGGAGGTGGGGGTGTACAGTCCTTTTTTCTCCTATGGGAACCAAATGCAATTGCTTTGCTGTTTCTAATGTTGAGCTAATGGATGATATGAATCATCTCAGACTTGGTGTAGTTTGCAAGAAATGTAGCTGGGTGTGTTACAAGTATATCGTTTCATAGGCAGTCCCTCTGGATTAAGGATAACTTGCTACTACTCCAGTCTGATGCGCATTGCTATGTCCGTGCTTGATGGGTTGAGTAGATGGCATGCATGGCGGCTTGCATACTCTCTCTGATGCCTTTATCTCACTACTGCATTTCGCAGCAAAGTCTCTTGATGAATTCAATATCTTCCTGAATTAGCATTCTCCACTTTGGTCAGCCACATGACAGGAGTAGAGATGTTTGACCTCTTCGTGAATATTTTGAAGATATCCCTAATGCATTTCTGCTGTTTACATGATAGTCTTATGCATGACTCAGTTCCAAGTCGAGCAGTTGCTTCAGGAATCTGGTGTCAGGCATACAAAATACATGTCCCGACCAACAAAGCTGGTTTTGTGTGATTACTGCCTCAAGGCAGGCAAATTGTCATGGCAAAGATACCATCCTTCTTTCAATTAGATTTTGCTAAGAGGAGGCTCTTACATGGTTTTGAGATACAGCTGTCCAAGTCTCCAAAGCAGAGAGGACCCTGGGGTTACTTCTTCTGCTAAAGCATGACTTTTGTCTTGAGTTTGACATCCTGGTCCTTTGATACTCTTTTCCTCAGCTGGCCTCAGGCTGAGCTGGCATATTGAAGGTAATGATGAATTTTACCATCTACTCATGCTTTTATTGAGAAGTAGCTCCCAAGATAAAGAAAATAGCATTTCCCATGATCTTGCTGTTGATCTAAATTAACAAGAGGAGGTGTTGCAGTGTGTGAGTTGTTGGGAGAGGACTAGGGTTTTCAGTACATTTGTAATGCTTGGCAACATAAAAATGATATCACTGATGAGTGTAATGTAACAATGAAAAGTAGAGGCCAGAAGGTGGAATTTGGGCCTTACCATAATTATCAATATGAAGGCTGAAGGATAAGTCTTTGCAGGAAATAATCAGCTTCTCAGAACAGATAATAGTAAAACCAGGCTAAAATAGTGGATTGTTAAGTACAGACGATACACATAAAGTGAACTATGTTGAAAACCCTTATAAATGCTGAAGAGAATAAGGAATCTTGGAAAGGGTCACAGAGACAAAATAGATAAATTTTATCTGAGTGATCTTGGTAGACAGAGTAAAATCTGACTGAAAGAATTCAATGTCCTGGTATAGGCGGGCAAGGAGCTTGTGGTAATGCATGATCAAGAAATGAAGGGAGGAATGGAAATTTGGACGCAGATCAATAATTGGGAAGAAACAGCTTTTGAAAAGAGGCTGATAGCAATCATTTTGAAAGATGAAGAGGACAGAACTCAAAGTGATAGAACAGATAATTTCAGCAAACTGTTTGTGGAACAATCGCATGATGAGAAGTTGGGTCTAGGGGGCAAGAGAAGATTGCATGGAAGTAATGAACTTGCTGAGAGCTGGGGAGAGGATGGGAGGGATATAGCAAAGAGACAAAGATATCAGAATGCATGATTTAGTTCTCCAAAAGTGCAATTCCATTAATGCCAGTCTCCCTTCTGTCCTCATAACCCTACACATTTTACCTTTTCATATGACTGAATTCCCTTTGAATCCTTGAATGACCCTGCCTCCACCACACTCTCAGGCATTGCTCTGCAGGGCGACTGCTTGAAAAAAACTTCTCATCGTGAAACTTTTGCTTCCCTTATTAATTACTTTAAACCTGTGTCCTCTCATTCTCAGTCCTTCTACAGTGGGAGCAGTTTCTCTCTGTCTAGATCCTTCAATTTTGTACCAAATCGCTATCAAGCCTTCCCTCCTCCAAGGAAGACAATCCCAACCTCTCCAAACTATCTTCATAATAAAAGCTCCTCATCCTTGAACCATTCTCATAAATCTTTTCCACACTGTTTCCATTGTTTTCACAACTTTCCTAAATTGCACCATCCAGAATTGGATGCAGTTGGATGCAGTCGGATCTGAGGTCAGACAACTGTTTTACCAAAGATCAACATAGTCTCCTCTACACTGGGGAGCTGAAACACAGACTGAATGATTGTTTTAGGAACATATCTGTAAAAATGACCCTGAGCTCCCACTTGCCTGCCACTTCAGCACACCAGCACGTTCATAGAGCAGAATCCCCACAGTGTGGAAGCAGGCTATTTGACCAATCGAATCTACACCAACCCACCGAAGAGCATCCCACCCTGACCCACCCTTATCTCTGCAATACTGCATTTCCCATGGCTAATCAACCTAGCCTGCACATTATCGGGCAATTTAGCATGGCCAATCTACCTAACCTGCACATCTTTGGACTGTGGGAGGAAACTGGAGCAACCCCACGCAGACACAGGGAGAATGTGCAAATTCCAAACAGACAGTTGCCTGAAAGTGGAATGGAACCCAGGTTCCTGGCACTGTGAGGCAGCAGTGCTAACCACTGAGCCATACCAACATTACTGTCTCAGGTCTGCTGCAGTGCTCCAATAGAAAAAAAAAGTCATATCTTCCACTTAGAAGACTTACAGATCTCAGGACTTAACATGACGTTTTACAACTTCAGAGATGAACAGCTTCCACCATGTGTATTATCCACTCACACACTCCTAGGTTGTGTTCTCTATGGGTTGCTCCCAGCACAGCCAAGCCACTTTCAACTATCATACTTCCTGTTAGCACTCATTCAGCATTTATCTTTTTCCTAGATTATCATCAGCAATCCCTTTGTCTGCTTCATCTTCCTTTTCTCTCTCTGGACACAACCTCCATCTATTTGATTCACTCTCTCCCACTCCAACACCATCCCCATCATCAGCATAAACATTATCATTTCCCAGCTGCTTTCATTTCTGAAAAAGGGTCATTAGACTCAAAACATTAACTCTGGTTTGCTCTCTACAGATGCTGCCTGACCTTTTGTGTTTCTCCAGCAGTGTCTGTTTTAATTTCAGCTCTCCAACATCCGCAGTTCTTTGTTTTATATTACTCCCATTCCCCCAATAGTAAAGCATAGGATAGTATAAGTTTTGTTAATCTCTGTCTTTAACCATCCCACCACCTTCAATGACTAATGCACACATATAAATGGGTTAAGTTAAAGCAAATACTGTGTACAATGGAAATCTAAAACAAATATGCTGGAAATCCCAGCAGGTCTGGCAGCATCTGTGATGAGAAAGCAGAGTTAATGTTTCAAATCTGGTATGACTTTTCCTTAGAAATGTGTCATCTAGATGGGTCCATCTGATCCTGCATCCCCTTTAGATTTATACCCTTTCTTTTATATTGCCTTTCCACAAAATTGATCACAATAGAGCCAGGTCTGATGATAGCTAACCAGGCTTACTCTGCACCAGGTCCATACTCGTCTGCAATTTTCATATTTAGGGGATAAAGAGCTGGGAATTTTACTGAACAGCAATTTGGATGAGCCAATTGGGGGACTTGGTGACAACAGGAGAATTGGAGACAAATTCAGGGAACTGTTGACTGCGCAGTGGTATTGAAATAGCTCTAGGGTCCAAATAGAGCAATTTAGATGTAGTTGTAAACATCGATAAGGCTAATAAACAAGTATAACAGAGGTGACAAACAAACATGCAAAGCTAAATATAAATGACTGATGCTAAAGTTAAAAACTATGTGACAACAAACAGATAAAAAAAACTGAATGTGCAACTCACACTATTACTTTTATCTAATGAAGCAAAACACTAGATAAATCCACAACATAAAATTGAAAACATTGTAATACCCAGCAGGTGGTGGGCAATCACTGAGAGAAGCAATTGTGTCTTGTCTGCCAAGACTGATGGGCACCGCAGGACATGATGGGAGAGGGTGGCAATATGGTTATTTTATTTAAAAAGTGTTCTCTTTGATTTATTGATTTTTAAATTATTTGTTGTAGTGACAATTTGCCGAAGGGCGGGTCTGCTTATTTCTCCGCGTGTTATGTGTACCCTTCCTAAGATGGACTTTTGGCATTTTTCAAAAAAAAATAGTTTCACAGATCTTGGCGAACTCTCTGTCTCCTTAACATTCAATTAACAAAATAGCATCTGGCAAGAGGTTAGGTCAACATGGCAAGTATGGAACGTTCTTTCGATATTTACGCTGGCTACTTGCAACCCTCAGAATGACTCTTCTCACATTGTCCTCACCATTTATCGCAGCCTTTCAAATAACGTGGATGAGACTTTCTACTCTGGCTGATGAAGCATGATTTTATGTCCCCCTGTGTGATTTATCAAGCGCCGTGACGCCTTTTCCAGCAAAGGCGAAGTCGCGGATAATAAGAGAACACTGGATGCTGTGTAGATTGTCACATTGGGTGGTCAGCTTCTCCCCCCTTTAAACGGAATGCACACTGTGGCTTTTGAAGCTGGCGCCTTGTGTTCAATACACAGTACTGGCCGGCTTTACGTCATTCAACTTTCCAACCCCAGAGATTCCGGAGGGAAGGGGAAACACTGGTAAACCTAGCAACAACCAAAAGAATAAGAGGTGCGCTACGAATCAGCCAAAAGAACAAGCCTGAGACAAAGTAGGCATTACTTACAACTTTTAAAGAAAATCTTTTAGTAGTTGACTTCGAATATTGAAAAGAGCGTTGTTTGTTTTATTTTGCACTGAGATATTCGGTGAAACTGCTCTGTCTCTCTGTCTGTGTTGTGTGTGTGTGTGTCTGTCTGTGAGAGTGAGTGTAAGAAAGCGGCCGCAGTGAAGTCCTCTCCTTGAAACTTGGGAGTTAACAGCGATTGGGAACAAGTGCAGCTCAAGGAAGAGGGCAGTCTGTCTGTTCCCAGTTCATCTGCAGGGCTGGTCTGTTTGGGCAGGAGGAGGCCACTTGGTTGGACAGGGCGAGACGCCTTAAGATGAAAAACAGCGGAGAGCGAGAGAAACTTCTGCTGGAGATGACTGTCGTTGTGACTCCAGCCCCGTCATTCAAAGACACAGAAAGTTACCCAGCCACTGCGCTTCTCTCTGCTTTAGACTGTGAAACTTTAACTACCCTAATACTTTTCTCCCCCCTTTTGTAGCACCGTATCTATTTTTTTTAATATAAAACATAAAATATCTGGAAGAATTCGCGGTGATGAGCTTTCTGCGTGAACGCGCGTGTGTCTAAGCGCGCCCCCTAGCCCATGCCTGTGTCTGGGAGAGAAGCTGCCTATGAAGCTCAGCTCAGTGTGTGCAGCTAGGGGTCCCCACACTCTAACCTGCTCGCTTCTAAGTGTATTGTTTCAGGGACCTGCATAAAGTGGTTCTCACGTCCGTCAGAACTGGCTAGTTCTGAGGCTGTGCTGTTGAGTTTAGAACCTTTTTTGGAATTACAGTTTTGCTAAGAGGTATTGGAATGTCGTTTCTGCTTATAACTAAAGTGTGTGAAATTAAATGCCCTCTGTTCTTTGCTTGATTAATATGTCAAATAGACTTGAGGCAGTCCAGAATGATAGCTTGTAGAAATCTATATTCGATAACGTTAAGACTCAGTAGAGAGGTGGGCCCGTTCAACACTTATACATCGTTCAAGGGTTGGCCCCTGTAATTGATGGAGCTTAAACTGTTTTTGTAGACCTAATGTTTGTGTTACAAGTGAAACAGTTACTCCTGCGTTGTTTCATATTGCCTGTTTATTTCAAAACTCTTGGAAAAGCTCTCCTAACCAGCATTTTGTATTTTTTTCTCGCAGTGAGGAAGGTTTAGTTACTGGCTTGGGAATTGCTGGCCTTTTGATGTTGACCATTTACAGCAATGATTAATCATTATCTGTCAAGGGATTGATTCTGCATTCATTCTGATTTTCAGCATGCCAGCGTCAGGAAGAGTTATCACAGAGCTGGTGTATGTAAGGAGACTAACCTCTAAGTGATAGTTTAGCTTTGCTTTTGTCAGCTTCTAATGATGTAATTTTAGATTTCTTAATCATGCTGTTTTTGTTTTAAACAAAAGCATTGTTCTACAGTGTACAGAGGCAGATGTGAGTTTCAGTCTCATTAGCCCTGTTGATCACAGTCATTTGGTGTATGCAGTGCTTTCTGTAAGCCCCATTTTGCATTGCAACCCTATATCATAAAGAGGGCAGCGCATGTGGCTTCAGAGACTGTCAATATCATCTTGCATAGTGGTTTCATTCGCTGTTTCTCTGGGTAAGTTGCTAGTGATGGAAAAAGTAAATGATTGCTGCTGGTGCCCCTTGCTGTGAGTTGCTCTCTCTTAAAATTACCAACCGGGAAAGTATTTTTTTCATCTATCGACCCTGTTTACACCAGACTGATGGTGGAGCAGATATTTAGTGGCTGTCATTCAGTGTACAGTCAGTTTGGATAATGTTATCTTCAGCCACGAGAAAATGTTCAAATGGTGAGTTTACTTTCCTCTTCAATAGCAAGCATTTCCCCTGCTTTTGACATTTTGTCGTGACTAGCAATGACGTACAATGATTCAAGCTCGAAAAGAGATGCTGTACTCTGTTACCCAGCTTCGTTTCTTTATGCCTCTTGAATGGAATGCTGAAACTGAAATGGAACTGATCAAACTAAGGAGAGTGAAATTTGGAAAGATGTCCTGCTTGGTTGGTAGCTGGAGACAAAACTGATTTGTGATGGGACAAAGAGGAAGCACTCTCCCAATAGTTTGACTAGAAGTGAATGAGCGATCTTAAGCTTGTGGGTCTTGTGGAGTGGAGTTTCTGATTGTGGGATTTGTCATGTTTGCTCAGTTGGGACAATATTCAATTTCTATCTTTTTGTTTCTTGATTCTAATCCATGCTAGATTGTTAATCTACATCTTGTTTGAATAGTTAACATTAACTGCTTGTATTATGCCACCTGATATTAAGCACAATAATTGAAGAATTCAGTAAGGTTATCCTCCTGCTTTTGTGGAAACAATCCTTCTACATTTGTCCATTTGATCTCTTTGCACCTATATCTATAAAGTAACTAGAGCCTGAACTGGAATTTTTTAAAACTCAAAACATTTTCTTTAATAAATCTAGTATTTTGCCTATATTTTAAACCAACAACAATAAAATCAAGCTTGTTACCTTAAGTTTAGTTTTGTTAGTACCTAGGGAGGGAATTGGAGCTGGTAAATCTTCAATATTCAAACAGTAATATTGTGTATATTGTATGCTTGTAGCTTTTAAGACAGTGGGAAACCCTGGGAAGTTTGTTTGTTTTGGCCATTTTATATTAATGTGTGCGCAAGAAACAAATTATCACAGTTCTCCAGATGAGCCCTTGGTAATGTCTTACTAGGCTGAGATTTGGAATTTGGGACTTGGGTGGCTCAGTTATTACATATTCAGACATTGGATAATAGTCTCCTAGCAAACAGTAGAACAAAAATTTGGAACAGCTGAACTTTGATATTCAGGGGACACTGAACAAGTCAGTGACATTGCATTTATGTATCGTAAATCTGTTTGCAGTGATCTTGAGTTTTGTGCTGTGAATTTGATATCTGTTCATTCATTGATTTATTTTATAAACATCTCATTTATTGGTTTCATACTGTTACCATAGTTTATATTCTAGGTTTCAACACCGCTCCCCCCCCCCCCCCCCCCCCCACCAAGGCTAGCCAACCGCCCATTAGAATATGCTTTTCACTCAATTTTTATTGCTTCTTACCTAAAGTTCTTATACTGATCTGTTTTCAGCATCTGAAATAGTTTGGTTGCCAGTTTATGATAGGTACTGTAACATTTTCAGAGTTTACTATTGTTTCATTTGATTTTAATGATAGAACCATATATGTTTACAATATACAGTGCAGCTTTTTGGGCCATTTTCTCCCTGCTAAATCTGTTTATCCATAATTAATCCATCTGTCATAGATCTTTCTCATCCTGTGTATTCCTATGCTGCAAATATTTATCTATTTTTCTCATAAAACAGCAATGGTCTTTGGCTTAATCATTCCCAGTTGGGCATTTAATGCTTCAGCAAAGTTTTTGCATGAAGAAATTTATCCTTGCCTTTTGTTTTAGTGGCTCATAATTTAAAACTGTCACTGGCATTTAAAATGTCGAAATAGTCTTTCACTATTTGCTCTGCTGATAGTCTTAGCTGAAAAGAGTTTTCAAAAGTTTACATTTGTTAATATTTCAGTTCATTATCACTTGCTGTTTTACATTGTGATATTTTGGGCAATCTGCCTTTTTTATTGTGCTCCTTCAATATGTAACATTTTTACTTGATACTTTGAGCAGTCATAAATTCATTATTCGTCCAGTTCCTGAAAATCTGCGAATATCTTGGGATCACCTTTGTCCTCCTTCATTGCCCATTTTTAAATATAATTTGCTGCCATTCGTAAACATAGGCATTTTTATAGTGCCTTTAGTATTAATTAACATGAAAAATAAATGTCCAAGGTGAGATTTTTCAGATGTAGTGTTTGGAACATTTATAATTTTCAGCCAAGTGACAATCCAATTTATAATTCATTCCGAATTAACATTAAAAAGTATAAGTATCTATTTGGGTGCAGATGCACTAAAATGGGTGAAGCGTTGGGATTATACCCCAGGAAACAGAGACTTGGAGGCTCACTCTTGCTCTTATCATCAGATTGTCAGTGAGCTGTGAACATATAACAGGTTGCTAGGTAAGCTCCCCATACCCCAGGGATACAGTTGGTTCAGCTGCTTCACAGGTCATCGGGACACCAGACCATGAATCATAAATTAACCTTTCGCCCGCGTTTCCTGATTGCTGAAGTTGACCTTTTTTTTGCAGCAGTGTACCAGTTACTTTATCTTACATCCATTCAATGATGAAATCTTTTAATCTGCTCTAACTTTGTTCCTTTTCTTTGGCATCCCTTGCTGTGCAGTGGAAATTCAAACATAAACTTGGCAGCATTAACTGTTTGGTTTGGTTAACTTCTAGTTTCTGTTGCTTCATGACTTACAATTTTGAGATAACACATTGAATAGTATTAACTTTTCATGGTCTTGGTCTCTGAAGTATTGAATGGCAAATTTTGATTTTGAGTACGTGAAATAATGCTGATGTAAACACAACAGCCTTGAATTTCTTCCATACTTGCCTCGAGACAAGCAGAACAACCTCTGAGATGTAAAAGATCATGGAATTTTGGCTGAGAGGTTGTGCGTGTAGACATAATATGCTGAACTCTCCTGGATCCTATAAGGTCAGCTATGGATCTTTCTCTCCAAATTAAGACCCATCTGTGGCTTAAGAGCAGCTAGATGTTGTGAATTATGTGCCAAGTAGCTCACTCAAGGCCTTTCCATCACAAGGGGCAAGTCAGGAGTGTGAAAAACTCTCCATTTGTCTGTTTGACTGCAGTTCCAACACCATCCAGTACAATGAAGGCCGATTAATAGGCTTTCCATTTAAAAACTTCAACATTTATTCCCTTCACCATGAAATAGAGTGGCAGCAACGAGTACCATCTCCAAGATGATGTACTACAACTCATTAAGGCTCTTGTGAACTCATCATCTAATCCCACGCATAAAGGAAGCGGAAACATGACAACATCACCACCTGCACATTTCCCTTCCC